GGGACTCGATCCCAGGACCCTGGGATCATGACCTGAGCCGAAGGCAGACGCTTAACCATCTGAGCCACCCAGGCGCCCTAAAATTGTGTAGGTTTGATTAAAAATAAAAAGTAGTACTTTTATAATTTCAGAAATGAAAACTGTATTATTCAAATACATAGAAAAGGAGGATGAAACGAATCTGTATGTAGCATAGTGATTGCTGGTTACAATAAATACAGTGCTCCTAATTCTGGAGTGTGTTTGGATGGAGGAAAAAGGGAACAAATTTGATTTTACCATTAGGTTTCATTTGAAAAAATTAGAAAGTGACTTAAAATAAAAGTTTATTCATTTGCCAGACTTTTATTTAGTGTTTACTGTGTTCCAGGTACTGCCTTGAGTAGTGAAAAATTTTGAATGAAAAAACAACGTAAAAGTTAACCAAAATGTTACAGTTGATATAATTTTCCCAAAATGTTACTGTCCTTGGTCCTGGCACTCACAGTTTGGTTCACTGTACTTCCCAGAGCATGCTTGGAAAAACCTTTTGGGAGATGTAAAACTATCTTTTTAATGGTCTGTCTGTCTCCTGCAGAGATCTAAGGAAGTCATAAACACTGGGGCTATCCCTAATACAAAAATACAAGCCATCAGCCGGGGACTTAAAAGAAAAAGAAAACTTGGTAAGCCCTTTCTTCATATGTGCTTAGGGATGTGCAATGGAATCTTAAGTAGATTGTCGAGAAGTTGCCAGAGTTGTAAACAGGTCATCCAAAGTCGACTTAAAGTGGGTAATCGTTGATGGTAAAATTGGAAGTAACTGTCTTTAAGCATATCCTGTTTTTATCCTGCTTATGGTTTTGAGTTGCTTTTCCAGTGGAGCAACTATTATACAAAAAATCTTAATGGAGTGTATTCCTTATCTGTCGGCATATGTGTCTCTGTTCTATGTCCTCTATTCAGAATATGATTTTCTGTGCTTTTAAAGAAAAATGCTTACTTTCTGAAATGGTTCATGTATGGAATTGTCAGGTTAGGCAAGTTCAACGTGATGTTCAACTTTTAGAAATCTATTTCTCACATTGAATTTTGAACACACCCTTTTAAAATAGGAAAATTATTTTCCTTAAAATAACCTCAGCATGGGTGTGCTTTGAAAGGTAATCTACTTCATTAATCCAGTGAGTACATATAATTAACCATTATTGAGAAGATTCTGAGGTAAAGTCTAACTGATGCTTTTTATTTCTGTGACTACCTAGGGCCAGATTCTCCAGTTTGAAACCAGGCTAATGGTAGTGGTGGATTCTTATAGGTGAGGTAGCTTTAAGGACGCACACACATGAAATACAGACATATAAGTGTTAGTGAAATATCTCTATGAAATACATTGATATTCTTAGATGAGTAATAGAGAGAATGCCTAAATGGCAATTCGTGTTTCTGTTTAACCTTTAACAGTGACTATTTTTATTAGGCTAGAAGCTGGTTACTTTTTAACTAAATTTTATTAGAGTAAAACTTGATTAATTTGGATTTGACTTAAGTAACTAAAATGTATAGTTTCAACTTAAATTGCTACAGTAAATTTAGGTGCTTCAAATTAGCTGTCAAGTATCTTATATTCAACTTTTTGACCCTGCATAGTTTCTTCATCTGTAAAATGAGAATGTAATACCATTTGTCACATAAAACAGAAACTCTGAATTCAAAATACGACTTTACCAGTTTATAAGAGCCGTGTTCTGGAAGAAGAGTGCACACAGGTACAGTATGAAGAGTTTAAACTTGCGCAACTTCAGAATGCATCAGAATTAGAGGCTTTCTCTTTTACTTATATATAATCCAAGAAATTGAGGTAGTCAGCAGGGTGAGGAGTAGGAGTCCTGTGACATTCTGCAGGGGAGGGGGATCTTGGTGTCCTAGTAACAGACTTCATAAGCTAAGTGTAAAAGGTGCTGATAACATGTTTTTCAAAGAGTTGTAATATTTATCCAGCAGGGAGGAGTAAAACATTAGACTCTTAACAGATGTTAACATTTTCTTTACCTTCTAGTTCTCTTTAAACACGTAGCTCTGTCTGTGGTGGTGGCACATTTCTTCACAGTCTCTTAGGGTTATTTTGAGGATTAAAGAAAAGGACGTGTTTAAAATACCTAGTACATACCTGATGCCTAGGCAGGGCTCAGTAAGTATTAGTTTCCTTGCTTCCAATGTCTCCCTGTAGCCTAGAACTATTTCCAGAAAAGCAGAATGACACCGAACAGTTTATTTCCTCTGTATGTTCTTGTTGCTCTTTCCTGTACTCCTGGACCATCACATCTTGGCTTTTGTTCATTCATTCTCTAAATACTCATTGTTCCCTTTCTTTGTGAGTTGGAACAGAGGAGGGGAGAACCAGAGGCTGAGTATTGAGCACTCTTTCCTTTAGGATTCTGCTGGGTATTGTCCAGTACAATACATTTCATTGTTCAGTACATACTTTTAAAACTTACTTCATTTTTTAAAATGGTGACTATTCATTTTTCTGCCCTTTACATTAATATTTCAGAAAAATTGTAGACAATTTAAAATATTTAAAATCTGAAAAATAAAAATGGGGTTTAGCTTTAGCATTTGTGTACATATTTGCCGGATTGGAAACAGGAGTATAAGGATGGAAACCCTATTCAGGAATACAAGACAATTCCAGCTGTAGTGTGTAAAACACAGTTATAACTCTGTAGTAGCATGTAGTAAATAGGAGTGCAAATGTCTGAACCATGTTATTTGTCATTTAGAGAAAGGCTGGGATTGGTATGTGTGTGAAGGTTTTCAGCAGATACTTTATCAACAAGCAGAAGCCTTAAAGACCCTTGGAGTAGGCCCAGAATTAAAGGTAAGTCCATTCGTGTCTAGATGTTAGCCTTACATTCTGTTTGAAGAACAATAAGATTTGGAGTGAAACTAAGGAGAAAAGTGGGGTTATCAGTAATGACACTAGCTCCTGGAAGAATCATTTTTTTCTGATGTTTTTGCTTTAATCCTTTTATTAGACCATTAATTCCCAAAGTGTGTTCTACAGGATATAAGTAAGCAATACAACCAAAAGAAAACCAAAAAGGTTTTAATCTTCAGATATTTAGGAAATATTGGGTTAAATGAAGTAAAATAAATAACTTTGCAGACTATTTGGTGTCTTTTCTGTGTTAATGTGCTTGTTTGATTTCCAAAGGGATGTAGTATACAGTATTCACAATTTGAGAACAAAATCCTTTAGTGTGTGTATATGTATGTAGCATTGATCAGGACTTGAGTTCCAGAATGCGCTTTGGGGAATAATATATTAAACCAGTGGTTCTCAACCTTGAAAGTGTACCAGAATCACCTGAAAGGCTGGTTAAAACAAGATTACTGAACCGCATTCTAGAGTTTCTGATTCAGTATGTCTGGAGTAGGGCATTCCTAACAAGTTCCCAGGTAACACTGAGACTGCTGGTCCAGGGACCACACTTGGACTTTGCTGCCCCTCCAGAGTACCACAATATCCCTGCTGTTGTGTGAATTTCATGTTTCTTCATCTGGTTGAAGCCATTTCAGGAATTCCTTAAAAAGCCAGTTATTTAGGGGCGCCTGGGTGGCTCAGTCGTTAGGCGTCTGCCTTTGGCTCGGGTCGTGGTCCCAGGGTCCTGGGATCGAGCCCCGCATCGGGCTCTCCGCTCGGCGGGAAGCCGGCTTCCCCCTCTCGCGCTCCCCCTGCTTGTGTTCCCTCTCTCGCTGTCTCTCTCTCTCTGTCAAATAAATAAATAAAATCTTTTAAAAAAGCCAGTTATTTAGCAACAAGTGGTTATTGCACACTTGCTTAGTGCCCATTATTGGAAACCAGGTGCTAAGAGATCCAGCCTAGTTGGAGAGAGGGTTTTATGCATATGTGGAATGAGTAAACATGAAATGATAGGACGATGTGATCATAAGTGACATTAAGGGCAAAAAGAGAAGGTAGAAAGATCATTGTGGACTGAAGTCACCAAGGAAAGATTTATAAAGGAGCCTTTGCTGTTTAAACCAGTGTTTGGGGCAAGCCAGCAAGAATGCCCTCTAGGTTGATGCATGGCCTGGGAGGACTCTGGGCTGACCCTGAAAAGTATTTTAGGATTTAAAAATACAAAAACATGAGAGACCAGATGGCACCCATGGTGGTAGTCTGGGGGTTTGTGAAACTGGTTTCTTTCAAGTCATCCTATGTTATAAATGCTTTGTAATTTATAATTTCATATAGTTATACCAAATAACTACAGTAGGGTTTATTCCTATATAGTTTTCTACCCACTTCATCAGGGTTAATTCTGAAAACAGTGTGTCTGAAATTAGCCGATGAACATAACTGTTTAGACCTGACCATTTAAATGGCACAGGAATGGCATTATGCTCAGAACACAGGCTCTGGAATCAAAACTAACTCCAAATCCTATGAATGGATTTTCTACTTATTGGCTGGGTCATTTTTGGCCAATTTACTCAGTTTCTTTAGTGGTAAAATGGAGATAGTGGTTATCTTGCAGTGTTGTATTAGAGCTAATGGATGCCTAATACCTAGTAGGTGATGAATAAATAGAAAAGTTGTTTTGTTTTGTTATCTTATTTTACTTCCACTTGGACCCAGTAGCAGCTCTGCCTCTAACTAGAAGTGTGGTCATGTATAAGTTGCTTTCTTTCTCTCATTCTTAATATACTAAACTTACAAAAGGAAGCGATTCAACTAGGTGATCTTTATGGAATTAGTCTCTTCTTTAAAGATCTAAGATTATGAAGAATTTATTCAGTGTTTCCCATATACCTGATTTTGTGATGATAATTCTTTTTATAAGTAGAAAGGTAGGAATACATTTAGATGGAGGGCAATATAAAGTATAAGTGGTATAGACGTACCAGTGTGTTTGTCATAATCACTACTCATTTCCCTTCTACCTTAGGATGAAGTTTTACATAATTTTTGGAAGCGCTACCTTCAGAAGAGCAAGCAGGCATATTGTAAAAACCCAGTTTATACCAGTGGAAGAAAAGCTACGGTAAGTCACAAGTCTGAGAAGCAGGATGAAAAGCCATTTCTAGTGTGAGGTAGAGATGAAGACAGGTTCAGCCTCATCTGGATTTATGATGCTTGTCAGAGAATTGTCAGTGAAGAGGTTTCTCTTACAGTCCAGAAGGACAGGGTCACTGATCTAGACATTGGAATTAATTTTGACTTCTTACTTGACTAGTTGAAACAAATTTGTAGTTAAGTTCTAAATAGAAGCTTAAGGACTTTCCATTAATTTATAGTATTAGAAAAAAAATTTTTTTGCGTGTTTTTCCTTTTGCTTGGAATACCCACCTCCTGGTATTTCATGATTCGGCTCAGTTATCTCTACTCAGCAGTCTTTATGTGAAGAAAATAAGTCTGGATGCCTCACCACCCCCTCCCACATCCCCCAGAGCATTTATATTTTTAGTTTGCATTTAACTGCTTTATGAATGTGCCATGGGACATTCTACTTGGGATAGGAGAAGATTCCACCACTGAGAAAGGCAAGTTTGATAAACTGATAGGTTTGATGTGTGGTGCTTAGTCTTCAGGGCTGAGAAGAGATTCTGAATCTATTTGACACACATTTCTTAAGAGCTTGGAGACTTGGCCCAGTGTTTCCTTGTTTGGTTGGGGTTGCCTAGGTTCCGCATGCAGAGTTGAGTGATCCAGGACTGAGAAACCCAGGTCTGGGAGAAAGGAATAAGTTCTGAGAATGAGAAGTTTAGAGGAGCTAAGCCGTGAGAGAGACAGTGATGGAAGGGGGACTGACCTAAGCGATTAGTGTAGGAAACTTCCTTTTTTAATCTGGGACAGTGCATTTAAATAAACTCAAGAGGAATAACTTGAATTTACTAGAGCAGACAATTTTATAATGATAGAGTTATGAAACATTATCCCCTCTTGATTCAGGAGGCAGGTGCTTCTCAAGAAAAACAAAAGATATGGGGCTCCTGGGTGGCTCAGTTGTTAAGCGTCTGCCTTTGGCTCAGGTCATGATCCCAGGGTCCTGGGATCGAGCCCCACATCAGGCTCCCTGCTCCACGGGAAGCCTGCTTCTCCCTTTCCCACTCCCCCTGCTTGTGTTCCCTCTCTCACTGTGTCTCTCTCTGTCAAATAAATAAATAGAATCTTAAAAAAAAAAAAAAAAGAAAAAGAAAAACAAAAGATGCTATGTGGTTCTCAGGTGACACTTTGAAAGAGAATAGAAAAGAAAGAGCCATCCAGGCTATTAAGAATCTGATCTTGGGGCACCTGGGTAGCTCAGTTAGTTAAGCATCTGCCTTCGGCTCAGGTCATAACCCCAGGGTCCTGGGATGGAGCCCCATGTCAGGCTCCCTGCTAAGCGGGGAGTCTGCTTGTCCCTCTCTCTCGGCTCCTCCCCCCTTTGCACACACACACACACACACACACACACACACTCTCTCTCTCTCTCTCAAATAAATAAAATCTTTTTCAAAAAATCTGATCTTTAGAATTACATAGCTAAGGTATTGGTTGGTTATATTTGTACATTGGGGGTTTGCCTACCACATAGAAAATTTGAATCAGAACCTGGAATTCTCTCTGACATTTTAACATTTTTAGGTTAACTTAAAATATTTAAAAAGGTTTTGTTAACTTGAATAAACACCTGTCTAAAGTAATATTAGCATCACACTAAAATCTTCTTGATGAATAAATAAGCAGTAAGCACAATTTTAACCTGATGTACAAATTGGTAATATAGTGTTTATTGCAGAGTACAGCTATTTTGAATATACTCTATTTTGGTTTTTGTTTGTTTGTTTGTTTGTTTTAAGATTTTATTTATTTGACAGAGAGAGCACAAGCAGAGGGAGAGAGAGGGAGAAGCAGGCTCCCTGCTGAGCGAGGAGCCGGATGTGGGACTCGATCCCAGAGCCCTGGGATCATGACCTGGGCCGAAGGCAGCCGCTTAACCGACTGAGCCACCCAGGTGTCCCATACTCTATTTTGAAAGGAACAAGTACTTTTAAGTTAGAAGCTTAGTCTTTGGGGTGCCTGGGTGGCTCAGTTGGTTAAGCTTCTGCTTTCAGCTCAGGTCATGATCTCAGGGTCCTGGGATCGAGCCCCACATCAGGCTCCCTGCTCAGCAGGGAGTCTGCTTCTCCCTCTCCCTCGTCTTGGCACTCTCCCTGCTTGTGTGTGTGCACGCGCATGCTCTCTCTCTCTCTCTCTGTCTGCCAAATAAATAAATAAATAAATAAATCTTAAAAAAAAAAAGAAGAAGCAGCTTAGTCTTCTCCAGTATGGTACTGGCACCAAAACAGACACATAAATCAATGGAACAGAATAGAGGACCCAGAAATGGACCCGCAACTCTATGGTCAACTAATCTTCGACAAAGCAGGAAAGAATATCCAATGTATAAAAGACAGCCTCTTCAACAAATAGTGTTGGGAAAATTTGACAGCCGCATGCAGAAGAATGAAACTGGACCGTTTTCTTACACCATACACATAAATAGACTTAAAATGGTTGAAAGACCTAAATGTGAGATAGGAATCCATCAAAATCCTAGAGGATAACACAGGCAGCAACCTCTTCGACCTCAGCAGCAGCAACTTCTGGCTAGACACGTCTCCAAGGCAAGGGAAAGAAAAGCAAAAATGAACTATTGGAACTTCAGCAAGAGAAAAAGCTTTTGCACAGCAAAGGAAGTAGTCAACAAAACCAAAAGACAACTGATAGAATGGGGGAGGATATTTGCAAATGTCTTAATCAGATAAAGGGCTAGTATCCAAAATCTATAAAGAACTTATCAAACTTAACACCCAAAGAAAAAATAATCCAGTCAAGAAATGGGCAGAAGACATGAACAGACATTTCTGCAAAGAAGACCTACAGATGGCCAACAGACACAGGAATAAATGCTCGACATGAACAGACATTTCTGCAAAGAAGACCTACAGATGGCCAACAGACACAGGAAAAAATGCTCAACATCACTCTGCATCGGGGAGTGATCAAAACCAAAATGAGATACCATCTCACACCAGTCAGAACTGCTAAAATTAACAATTCAGGAAACGACAGATGTTGGCGAGGATGTGGAGAAAGGGGAACCCTC